GGCTCCTTCCCCCTCCATCTTTTTCAATTAGATCATACAAAGGTTTTTTTTTTTAATACTGTAACACAGTACTTACATTTTTCTGGCCAAGGCTAGAATGACATTGGCACAACCCTGGCACTGATGGAGCTTGCATGCCACCAAATTAGGCATGTGCGCAAATGTTCCATTTATGGAACCACCGGAGACCTGTGGCATATCTGCACATGCCTGAGGTTTTTTGTGGATCTCAGGGGTTTTTGTGCATGTGCTGGAAACCCCCCTGCATGTATACAAATGTGCCACAAGTTGCTGCTTTGTCCTGAAGGTCAAGCAAGAGCCCTTCTGCACATCTGTGCACATGTCACATTTTTAAACATGGCAGAGCCTAAGTAAGGGGGTGGCGAGGCTGAATCATGAGGGGCTGAAGCTACTTCATAACATACTGTAATTTATGTATGTAATTTATGTATGGTATTTACTTTAAAAGCCTATCTTGTGTAGACATCCTCCTATTCTGGCAGCTACATAAAAGGTTATATATGGAGGTTAAGGGAGGGGCAGAGGAGCTTGGTCAGCACATATATTAATTAGACAATCCCAGTGGGGGGAGGGGGGGGGGCCTATGATGAGCAAGAATGAAATGGGCAGTGCTAGGGAACTGAATTCCTGGAGTAGTCACATTTTCTTGCAAGTTCAAAGACCTATTACAAGTAAATAGCAAATAATTTTATTGAAAGGAAAAACATTGCAAACAAACATTTAAGCCTCATTCACACACCGTAAGTGCAGAAAAACTGATGGAAAAAATGTGCAGATTTCACCGGCAGAGACACAAGTATACCTCAGTTTTTATGCGCATTTCAATGAGTTTTATACATCTCGCAGATTCCTGCGCAGAGAAAATCTGAACATGATACTAGTGTTGGGGTGTGAACAGGGCACATAAAGAACAATTGTTTCCTTTGTGCCCTTGCTAAACACATGCAGAAAAACTCACATCTCTACTTAGTGGTGTGAACGAGGCCTAAAATACTTGCTTTTTCTGAGCTTTAACTTGCAATTTTTTAGGTTGGTGACTGGGTCTTTTTACATGTGTGGCTATTTGTTGGTAGAATTTTATGTCCAAGAAGCGACACTAGTAGTTGCTGTAAGTTGTCTTAAAGGATAGGTTTACCGGTTACATGCTCCACCCATATTTAGGGTGGAACATGTTCCAGCTCATGTCCCCTCTCCCCTCGATCTCCCCCCTGCCTTTGACAGCAGGCTGGGGTTTCTTTCCCTGCTCCTGCTGTCACTTTTCAAAAACAGATTCCAGTGAATGAATTAACTGCAGGTACTGTCTGCCACAATGGGAGATGGATTTGTAGTTTTGACGGGCTGCGGGGGTCACTGATAAGAGCTCTCCTAGTCCACTGACATGTCCTCGGGTTTTGCAAACCCTGCCAATTTCCTCATTAGAACCCTGTAAGTGCAGCAGCTAACTGGTAACGATAAAGTCACTCTCATTCACATTCACTTTGTTCATGGATAAACAAACAGCTATTTCTTCAGAATAACAAAAGGTAGGATTCCGCAGCAAAGTTTGTAAAATCCCTGCAATGTGCATTGATCACCCAGATGGGAATGTTTTTTTTCTCAACAAAAGTGGAGTTACTCTTTAAGCTCTAGGAAGTGTTGTCCTCTTTACTTCTGTGGTAACACGTTTTTGTTTTATTTCATATTTTATATGGTTAATCTCCCAGGTTTACTTTGTGGATGTACCCTTGCTTGTGTGAAAAGCAGCTGTGTGAAGTCAGCTCTATGCCCAACCTTACCCAACATTTAGGTTACTCAACATGTGAATTAGTTATATCTAGATATAAGAAAATAGGATGGATATGCCAAACATTTTTGGGTTGACTTGTTGTAATAATAGCAGTGGATGGCCTTCAGCACTGTAGCAAATATAATAAAGGGTATTTTTTTTGGTGGGAGTATCCTAGACTCAGAGGGTATTAAGACGTACTTTTCATTGCTCTGTTAAGTCTAAGGCAAAGCAGTAAACCTATAACCTCAGTAGGCTCTATTGAATGAACCTATTCCTGATATTACCTGTAGTGCACAGATACTAACTTCTTTTATCTTTTTAGCAGCAAAATAGCAGGGGCATGGAAGAAACCTTTTGTATCGTTGACTCATACTAAACATAAAAGTTTGTGAATCATGGTTCTTGAGAAGTTAGTGAATGTGATAAATGATAGAGTTAAGGAAACAAGGTCGCCCTTCGCATATGAGTGTCCAACTCATTGAGCAACTTTCCAATTCTATGGTACTGGAGACCTCTAGTTCTATTTCTTATTCTCTTCTTAACTTTTATATCTGGTTATTTTTCCCTACTTCGTTGCTTCTACATAGAAAAGTAACCTCATCGATGCCAGTATTGATTAGGCAGACGTTTGATATGTTCTGCTATGTTGCCCATCTGTAGAGTTGTTTAAACCTCTAGTCAATCAATGCTACGTGTCATTACTCGCTGACCTTTCTATACTCCTATGAACTGTTTGTGTAGGCATTCTATAAGCATCTTAACGAAACTGAAATTTTGACTTCTGCCTCTAATGATTAATATCGGTATACTTTCTGCCTGTTGAACTCAATATACATATTGAACAAATAAAGGGGATTTATGGGTGTCTCTACCTCATAGTTTGCTTTTCTTGTTGCAGTTATATGAAAACTGCAGAAGGGCTTCTGGACCACTTTGTGTGTTGATAGAAGTTTTAATATTTTATTCAGTATAAAAGAAATCCATTTAGGCAGCTCCTCAAAGAACAAGTGACATAAAGTGGCTTGTATCTGAAACACAACTTAAAAGTTCATGGAAAAAATGCCAAATACCAAATCTGTGAAGTCCAGTAAAATACATTTTACTGAGACACTGTATACAATAACACAGCCAACACATCTGAGGGAATTGAAATATCCCTCTTCATTAGGGTTTAGTACTGTAGGTACTACAAGAAGTGTGTTCTGGACAATAAAGCTGGAATAACCTTTTGAAAAACATTCAAGTGAATTGCAAAAAGAGAAAAAACCTTCAGTCGCTGAGCATTGCAGCCTGCGTGCAATACCCAGCAGCTGGAGTAAGCGCCTAAGCCAGGTCTTGAAAAAGCCGCTCGCCAAATGCGAGGAGAAATTCTTGTGTGGCGAGCGGCAAGCACAGATGATGGAGCGGCTGCACCTGCGCTCCAAGCCTCATTGTGATACTGAGTTCCGGTATCCAACTTCCCGTTTCCGGCTTCTTTGGCACCGCCATTACCCTGGCAGCGCCACTGAGGGGACAGGTGCAGGAGAGGTCCGCTCTCCTCCACTGAGAGGAGACACCCTCTCCACTGCCGCGGGGGACTCGAGGAGAGGTCCGCTCTCCCCCGCCTCGGGGAACACGAGGAGAGGTCCGCTTTCCACTGCCTTGGGGGACACGAAGTCCGCTCTTAATGCCACACTTCTCTAAGGTCTCTGCTGGAGATAAAACAATACAACATGTTTACAATAACTATTATTCCATGTTTTTTGGCATCAAAATAAGCACTTTTTCTTATGCTATACTTCTGTAAACTAAACTTACATCTTTTAAAAGAAACTTTAGTTACTAAAGTCTCTTTTTAAAGATGCAGGAGATAAACAAAAAAAATACAAAATGTTCTCTACAGGTTTAAAGCTGTAAAACTTGATATTTTGATTGCACCCTATTGCTATTAAGCTATTGCTGTTATATTTAAATTGACATAATAAAGCTGTGTTATAATTGCAGTTTTTTATATTTTGGACTCTTTATTCTAAAGAAAAATGTAATTTCATAAGCTTTAAGGGGGCGTGGTTGGGGCTGGGGGCGGGAGTGGGGTTGGAGGTGGACCTGGGCAAGGTTGGGTGGGGCAACTGGTGGAGAGTAAGGTTTGTGCCTGGCTAGTAGGTCTAGACTCGAAATTTTAAGCCCTGGAGCTACAGTAAAATGCAATGAATTTCTTCATTTTGCACATTGTTTTTGCTAGCAACACTGCTCTATTGAATAAAATCAGGCTCTTATTTATATCAACATGTTATCCTTATGGAGAGACTTGCCATTACAGACTATATTTGCAGCATAGTATCCAATGAAATCTGAAGATCTGAATCTGATTTTAGCTGGTATGTTCAGTTATTTTAGTGGACCTCATGCATCAAAATGACTTTTACTGTCCTTCGAGACCAATCCTTTGATTTTTCTAGCCTGAACTGGATAAATGACAGATGAATTCTGATTTTTGTTTCTGGAAAATAATGACTATTTACTTTCAGATAAATGAGGCTCAGTCTGGTTAACTTATGTTAAATATTTTTATTGCAGTATGTCCGTATAAACTGTCTACGCTTCTTCCTGTGTGACTTTTAGGGTCACTACACTGATTTTCTTTCAAAAAAGGAATTGGAATCTAACCAAAAATACACTCACCTATAGAGGTAATAGATTTGTTATGCAGTTACCAAGGGAATGGGAATAATTATACCTAAGTATGCCTCCGCTCACTTCCAGTGCAACCAGACAAGTCAAACGGCAATGGGCAAAGTCTAGTATCACATAACGGCCAATCCCAGTTTCCCTCTTACTAATCTGACTGTTTTTTTTCAGTTTGCCATCTTTTCTGCTTGCAATGCTTTATAAACCTATTTAACCACTAGCCTACAGGGCACTTATACCCCCTTCCTGCCCAACTTTCAACACTGTCACACTTTGAATGACAATTGCGCGGTCATGCAACAGTGTACCCATATGAAATTTTTATCATTTTTTTGAGACAGATAGAGCTTTCTTTTGGTGGTATTTAATCACCTCTGGGATTTTTATTTTTTCCTAAACCAAAAACCACTGAAAATTTTGAAAAAAAAAAAGTTTTTTCTTACTTTTTGTTATACAATTTTGTAAATAAGTGATTTTTCTCCTTCACTGATGTGCGCTAATGAGGCTGCAGTGATGGGCACTGATAGGCTGCACTGATGGACACTGATAGGTGGCACTGATGGGCACTGATGAGGCACTGGTAGGTTGCACTGATGGGCATTGACAGGCATCACTGATGGGCACTGAAAGGCAGCACTGATATATGACACTGATACGTGACACTGACATATGGCACTGATAGGCAGCACTGACTGGCACTGATAGGCAGCACTGACTAGCACTGATAGGCAGCACTGCCTGGCACTGTTAGGCGGCACTGACTGGCACTGATAGGCGGCACTGACTGGCACTGATAGGCGACACTGACTGACACTGATATGTGGCACTGATTGGCAACACTAATAGGTGGCACTGATTGGCATTGATAGGTGGCACTGACTGGCACTGATGGGTGACATTGAAAGGCAGATCAGATGGGCACTGATATGTGGTATTGATGTGCACAGGTATGCACTGATATGTGGCATTGATGTGGTGCTTATGGGCACTGGCACGTGGCACTGATGAGCACTGACAGGTGGCACTTCTGGGGGCACACTGATCATCAGTGCACATGTCCCCTCCGTGGAAAGCCGATTACCGGCTCTCCTCTCCTCTTGAGCTGTCAGCGTGACAGCTCGAGAGGAGAGAAATGCCGATAACCGGCATTTCTGTGTTTACATGTGATCAGCTGTGATTGGACACAGCTGATCACATGACCGAGCCGACATCTTCGGCTCTTTCCGTGATACACAGCGGACCGGCGATCGCCGCACTGCACGCTCCCTGAGCCGCGCATGCGCAGTGAGAATGGTAGGACGCCATATGACGTCCTATCAGAATGAGAGAACCACCTTGCGCCCGTCATTGTACTATAGGGCGGGCAGAAGGTGGTTAAATAGCAATCCAGGTAAACAAGTAGTATCCGGTATTAGTGAAGAGCATAAAAGTGCTCTCAGGCTTTCTGAGCAAAACTATATACAACATCATGAGATTTCTCCTGAACTCCTAGTCAATAGCAGAAGATTCAGAAAGAAGTGTGAGATAGGATTTAGAGGATCGCAAGAGTAGCTGAAAAGAAAGCAGGGTTCCAAGAGATCTTTAGAGATATGAGAGTGGGGGGCAGGAGATTGTCATCAACATGATGACACAGCCTTCAGGGATCATAAAGAGGTCAATAATATCCCACCATACTTTCAAATAATGAAAGAGATGGAAATTCCTGAACATTAGATTAGCAGAAACTAGGCAACATTCAAGAAAGCATACAGGTGGCACAAACACCTAGCGCATTATCCAAGATTTATTAAAAAATATATAAGGACAAAAAACATACTCACAAACGTAGCACATATATAAAGTCTATAAGGCCACAGAGACAGCCGCAATGATGGTAGAGTGTCCGACTGGTGGTACGATCGGCTTGCTGATGTGTTTCGGGGACATATCCCTTTCCTCAGAGCTGTAACCAACCTGAGTTGGTGCCCTACTTTATATGTGTGTAAAACCAGTACCGCCTATAACAAAGCCCCTTGTAGCTGGCCAGCTAAGACCAGTTCTAGGTTGCTAATATGGTTCACATATATGTGTATACCAAACCTGCCAACAACCTCAGTACAGTATATATGTGCATATGTTAAAGCCAAAAGCAAAATCATTGCTGTAATTTATGTCTTTGATTGTTATATGACATTTATATATTCTTTGTGTTAGCAGAAGCAGAAAAGGAAAATATGCCTTTAAGAGTTAGTCAAAGATGAGCCAATCACAGACAGCCTCATACTGTACAGAGCCTTAACCAATCCCAGCCAGTTTCACATCTATGCCTGTGTAAAACTCCCTGCTAGGATTTTCTAGAGACACATGCTCACCAGACAGAAGAGGAAACAGACAGTTCCAATCAGAAGAGCTTTATGGAGGCAGAGCAGGCCAAATAGGTATTTAATGCACTTGTGTGTTCCTCTATTGTTTGGCAGTGCAGGTGGATCTGTGTGTTGAAACTGTTGTGTGTGTTTTACTTGTAGTTCCACCGAACTTATCGAATCAAATCGAACTTACGAATTTACCGAATCTAACAAATTTATCAAGCTATCAAATCAAACCACTGTAATATAAAGAAATAAGCTACTGTATATGATAAATGAAACAAGCCATTGTAAGCAGTTATATGAAGAATATTGAAGTTATTAAAGAAGTTAACTAAAGTATTCGGTGTGCTCTTTAAACCTACTGCATCCATAGAGCGGCATTGGAGGAATTAGAGTAAAGTCAGTCTAATTAAACAAAGAAACAGCAATTGCATAATTATTCTAATGCCACAGCGCACTAGGCACCAAAGGGTGCTGCGCCTGCCACAGTGGAAACTATTACCCTCAGAGGTTAAGCAACAGCGCTCCTCAACTTGCACAGTAAAGAGTACACTAGAGAAACAGAGCGCCAGCATATACCGCCACGCAGAGACACCTCAGCGGAAAAACAGTACAGGCCATAGCACGTGTGCATTAGTCAGACTGCAGACGACTCTTAAAGTGGCATAACGGCAAAGGCAAGACAGTCAGAGAAAGAGCGCCAAACCTCCTGCACCCCTAGAGAGAGAAAGAGATGCATGGGGGGAGGGCCAGAGTCCAGAGCTAGAGTGCCCGCACCGCTATATCCATCAAGAGACCACGTGTTGCATCCAGAGAGTTCACAAAGAGCATCGCAAGTCACCGCAGAGTATTGCAAAGTCACCGCAGAGCATTGCAAAGTCACCGCAGAGCATTGCAAAGTCACCGCAGAGCATTGCAAGTCACCGCATCAAGAAAAGAAAAGTCTCCTTTAAGACTGACGTTTGTTTCTGCAACCTTCAGATCACGGTATCCTGCATTTCAATTAAGGTCAGAGCTTTCCTTTATTACTCACTTATGCACATAGGTTTCTGCAAGAGACATTTTTGTGCTCAAGAGAATACAGACTTTTAAAAAAAAAAAGACAGTTATAGTATATGACTCTGAAGTGTTTAAAGTGAAAGTAATTTATTGCCTATGTATTTTGGTGCTATTACATGTAAAGTGAAAGTCATTTATTCTTGCATTTGTTAGTATTGCATTTAAAGTGACAGGTCCTTATTATTCACATTAATTGTTATAGCATTCAGAAATGGCTGAGCCTAGCATTGCCACCCCACTGTTAGCAGATGCAATGATAGATATGATAGAAGGTGAAGAGCAAGAGAACCTGTCTGAATCTGAAAGGTGCAATGTAACGGTAGTCTCGCCCCAAACAAATATGGCTGAAACAGGTGAACTAAGACGTTCATCACGGGACAGAAAGCCGACCCAAAAGGTGCTAGAAAATTTGGAGCAAGAGGCAGCACTGAAAGAAAAAAAAGTTTGCCCGAATGTATGAGAGGTGGAAAGTATACACCATAGACATTCGCAGAAAGCTAAAACAAGAAAGCATAAAGGAGAATTTGAGTGAAATAATAGAGATGGTAGAAGATTCTGAGTCAGAGCTTATGACAGCATATGTCAACTTGCGGTCGTCCTTGACACCCTCCCAGGATATTGTAAGGAACGTAGATACATGTACCGCAGTCACTAGGGATTTAGTGAAGCTTATGAGAGAGAACTATCATCTGCAGCAAATTATGATGAAGTCAAGGCCCGAAAGGGAATGAATGAGCTCTTCATGAAAGACTATGCTAGGTCCTTAGGAGGAACCACAATCTCAAGTATGACTTCCATCACTAGCAGAAGTGCCAGCCACATAACAGAGTCCTCAAGTACATCAGCCAAAAGAAAGGAATTAGCTGAACAACTCGCTGCCAAAAGAGCAGAAGTTGAGATGGAATCTGCCATTGAGGCTCAGCGTCTACAGATAGCCGAAATAGAGGCTCAGCGCCATAAAATGGAAGCTGAACTGGAAGCTCAGCACCATAAAATGGAAGCCGAACTGGAAGCTCAGCGCCATAAAATGGAAAGTCTGGAAAGGCAGAAGGAAGTTAAGATTATAGAAGCCAGACTAAGAGTGCACGAAGAGGATACGAATCAGGGTAGTCATAGATCCAAATCAGGGCTAAGTGGAGAAGCTGACTCCTACGTTCTTCCTTACGCCCAGGAAAATTGAAGGAAATCTCCAGCATGTAGTGAAGAAATAAGTCATAGTCCTTTCATCCCTGCTCAGAGAGAAAAGAAGAGAGACTCACCTGATTCAGAACAAAGTGGAAAAAGAGAACCAGATAATTCAACTCCCATATGTCATGGCAGTGGTCACGAGAATGTTGCAACTGTTGACCTGGCGAAACCTCAGAGAAGCTTTCTCACTAGACTTCCTGTTCCAGAACCTACTATATTCTCCGGAGACGTACTGAAGTTTTATAGAGTGGAAAGCAAGTTTTGAAATGATCATTGAACATCATTGCTCCCATCCAGTGGACAAGTTATTCTACCTCCAACGGTATACTGGCGGAGAAGCAAAAAAGGTTCTTGAAGGTAACTTCTATAGGAAAGATGAAGAAGCCTACAAGCAAGCTTGGGAAAAATTAACTGCAAGATATGGTCATCCCTTCTTAGCACAAAGAGCTTTCAGAGAGAAGTTGATAAACTGGCCTAAAATAGGTCCTAAAGAACACTTCAAGCTCCAAGAGTATGGCGACTTCCTGCAAGCATGCAGCAATGCTATCCCACATGTTCAAGGACTAGAAGTATTGAATGACTATCTAGAAAACCACAGGATGCTAGCCAAGCTACCAGAACAAGTGGCTTCTGGATGGAATCGCTATGTGACTAAACAGTTAGATCAAGGCAAAAACTTTCCCAAGTTTTAAAGAGTTCTCTGAATTTGTCAATGAGGAAGCACGAAGAGCGTGTAATCCAGTAACAGCATCTTATGTCTTAAAACCCTTAGAAGAAAGGCCTACAAGAGAGATAAGACGCTCAAGAGCAACTAGCTTTGCAACCAACACAGCTACTAAAGGTCCAGATGCCCATGAGAGCAAGTTCAATGTCATTACTGGGATCAGTAACTGACAAGTCTTCAGACTACCTTCAAGTGTATGTTCTGTGAAGAGAATCACTCCATACATAAGTGCCAAAGATTGAAGGAAAGGTCTCCAGATGAAAAGAAGAAGTTTGTGTTTGATAATCAGCTGTGTTTTGGATGTTTAAGAAAAGGCCATATTACTAAAGAATGCAAGAAAAAGGCCACTTGCAGTGTTTGTAAAGGACGTCATCCTACACCACTACATGAAGAACGTCCAAAGAAAGAGAAATCCTTAATGCCTAAGGACACTGAGGAAGAAAATAAAGCAACAGTATTCTCTTGCAGAGTGAGAGAAAGAGAAATCAATGGCACGTCAATGGTTGTACCAGTGTGTATTTCAAATCCTAAAAGGAAGAACAAGAAGGTATACGCCTATGCGCTACTAGATGCCCAGAGTGACGTCACCTTCATTGATCAAGAAATCTGCAAGAAATTACAAGTGGCCACAGAACCAGTGAAATTCAAACTCACCACAATGACAGGAAGAGACACATTGGTGAACAGTCAAAGAGTCAGAGGACTGAGAGTTAGAGGACTCCACTAAAACTGCATATTAGATCTAAACCATATAAATGCTGCGCTACATTCAAACTTATTTTAAGTGAATGTGGAATCCAATAACTCAAATCAAAATAGTGACAATAATAATGAAAATAAATAATATGTGCTTAATGATAACAAAATTACCAAATAAACCACCCAAACTGATGAAAAAGCACAAACTTAAATCTATACGTATGTGCATGAGAA